TGACCTGTCCGTCCTCCCTGGACTGACCTATCTCCTCCCTAACTCCCCACCTACACTCACCTTTACTGGCTCCATTCCCGCCTCTTCGACCTGTTTGTTTCCTCTCCACCTATCTTTTCCTCTATCCATCTTCTATCCGCATCCCCCTCTCTCCTTATTTATTTCAGAACCCCCTTCCCCTCCCCCATTTCTGATGAAGGGTCTAGGCCCGAAACGTCAGCCTTTCTGCTCCTATGATGCTGCTTGGCCTGCTGTGTTCATCCAGCTCTGCACCTTGTTGTCTCGGATTCTCCAGCATCTGCAGTTCCTACTATCTCTCCCCAATTACTTTCAGTTTTTCGAAATAAGAGCTACAACCAGTATTTTCCCTGATCTATTTATCTGAATCAACTTAGAAGTCTGTAATAGCTATCCTAAGTCACCTTAATAATTTTCTGGAAGACAGCATAATAAGAGATCAAACATTTTAAGAACACCCACATTATTCAATCTGATGACTGGAGGATCAGTTTTAGAATTTTCAATTTCTTATTCATTCTGAATCACACTGAAATTTTTGTGTCATTCTCTACTGCTTTTACCACTGTAAAGACACTCTTCTTTTGATTATCCTCCCTGCCATAATATCGCTTTGCCATATTAACATGACACACTCGCTGATTTTAACACGCGTCTGAAGTACCTGTTACAGAAATTCACACCAGTGAGTTTCTTTGTGATTTGAGAAGGTCCTTTGAGCCCTGCTTTCCAGTGCTTGCCAGAAATAGATAACATACTAACACCACCTCCTTAATAACAAAATTTCAAGCTTTAGCATTATTATCTGTTCTAGCTTTCACTGTTTTTGTGCAATTTTCAATTTTTTCTTGCATATCTCACATGATTTAGTTAATATTTCTTGGAAATCTTACAGCATAGATTCATGACAAGTAGGTTATGCCTGACAAATTTCATTGAATTTTCTGAAGAGGTGACTAAAATAGCAGGCAGGGCAATGTCTTCCGATGTTGTTTATTTGGACTTCCAGAAGTCATGTGACAAAGTCTCACATAAAAGAGTACTAACTAAGGTAGAAGCCCAAGGAACTGAGGGTAACTTACTGACATGGTTGAAAGATTAGTTGTGTGGCAGACAACACAAAGTAAGGCTAATAGGAAGTACGGATTCAAATTGGTAGCATGTGACTAGTGGTGTCCCCATCTGTGTTATGGCCTCAGTTATTCACATTATTTATTACCAACTTAGATAATGGCATACAAAGTCACAATTTGTAATATGTATATTGATTTATACAGCTTTTACCTCTCAGTTACCCACTTTCAAGGATTTTAAAAAACATAAGTTACTGCAGTTTGACCTTCTGACCAAGTCTTCATATGATGAGATCATTTTGATATCTCTTTGCTTCTTACATTCATCAGAACAATATGCTAGAACATTCTGTGGATTCCACAGAGGGACTACAAGTGGACTCTGACAGGTCGAGGCATTGCCATGGAGAATGAACCAGTTAATTACCTTTGATGCTAACTGCTGGAATTTGTCTAATTTTTAAACAAGACAGGTTGACTGTGATTGGTCAGAGCATTACGCTAAGAAAGGAACCAGCAAATGACTCTCCCCTATTTTGTACTTAGTAAACAACTTTGAGCATTTCTGAATGCAGGTTGATGGTGTAAAATAGCCACAACTGTGTTTATTATACATGGTGACTTCTGTTGACTTGTCTTTGATGTCAATAACTTGTTACTAGAGTTTGTAAACTTGATTAATTAAGAGATAGCAAGAACTGCAGATGCTGGAGTCAGAGGTAACACAATATAGAGCTAGACAAGCACCTCAGGCCAGGCAGCATCAGAGGCCTGTTGTGCTTCTCCAGCTCCATACTGGCATAATCAATCTTGTGTTGGATCTCCTTGCCTTCGGTGGCCTTTTGAGAGAGGTGGTTGCCCCAGGTATGGGAAGTACTCAAAGTTCTCTTTTTTTATTCTCTATTCATTTGTGCGACTTGTGTGTCACCAGTGGCCAGCATTTACTGCCCATCCCTAGTTGCCCTTGAGAAGGTGATGGTGGTGAGCTGCCTTCTTGAACCGCTGCAGTCCTCCTGCTGTGGGTTGGCCCACAATGCTATTAGTGAAGGAATGCGAGGATTTTGACCCAGTGACAGTGAAGGAACAGCAAATACATTTCCAAGTCAGGATGGTGAGTGACCACTTCTAGGGGGGGTCCCGCCCTCTTTTGGAGGAAAAGATCATTGAAGTAGCAGCTCAGGGTGGACGGGTCTAGGTCAATACCCTAAGGAACCACAGCAAGCATTCTAGGAATGAGATGATTGGTTATCAATAGCCTACAACCTGTGACTCCAACTCGTGAAGATCCCTGCCTTTTCCTCATTGACTTGAATTTGGCAAATAAATTTGGCTCCTTGATGCCAGACTTAGTCAAATGATCTCTTGGTGTCAAAGATAGACAAGAATCTTATTTCTGATATGCAGCACTTCTATCCACGCATGGACAACATATGTAATGAGGTCTGAAGCTTGGAATCCGTCCAAAATCCAAAATGAGTATCATTGAGTACACTGTTATGTAAGAACATTTAAAAAAGTAGTAATACACCATACATCGCCTTCAGTCTGTTCTGTCATTCACCCAAATCATTTCTGGCCTCAACTACACTCTACCATTTGTTCCCAATTGCTATTGATGTCCTCAGCCTCCAAACATTTATCTATCATATTCATCTATGACACATACATCATACGTTCTAGGATGGAGGAGTTCAAAAGATTCCTAATCCATTGAGTGAAGAGATTTCTTGATGATCTTAAAGTAACTCCCTGCTCTCTTTTTTCTAGATGCTCTAGCCAGGGAAAAACCTCTCGTCTCTACTTCATCAAGCCACTTCAGAATACAGTATAAATAAACTAATCTCTCATCCTTCCAAACTCAAGAGAACATGGATATAATTCACACAGATTTTCATCATAAGACAACCTTCTCATCCCAAGAACTAACCCACTGAACCTTTGCAGTACCTCTTCCAAAGTACTGAAGAGTGAGAGATATGCCAGGCAATATTCCTTCTGATTTATTTTTTGCTGCGTGAACGGCTGAGATCTCTGCATGGCAGTGACTTCCAAAACTGCAAGTCAATGTACCAGTGTGCTGATCATGCCAATCAGTCTGTGCAGAACCTTGGAGGAACCTCATAATGACTGTATGGCCAGGCCAGGTCCTGATCCACTGGCATAGCAGACCCAGTAGACTTGGTGGCACAGTGGTACTTGTGCTTACCAGACTAGTTCCTGAGATTAGGATTAATAGGATTAGACAGGCTAAATGCAGGAGGGATGTACCCTATGACAAGGGAATCCAGAACCTGAGGTCACAGATTAAGTATATGGAGGAGGCCATTTAGGACTGAGATAAGGAGAAATTTCATCACCCAGAAAGGCTGAGCTGTGGAATTCATTTTTTTTTAATTCATTCATGGGATGTGGGCATCACAGGCAAGGCCAGCATTTATTGCCAATCCCTAATTGCCCATGGGGCAGCTAAGAGTCAACCACTGCTGTGGGTCTGGAGTCACATGTAGGTCAGACCAGGTAAGGATGACAATTTCCCTCCCTAATGGAATTAGTGAACCAGATGAGTTCTATCCCGACAATCAACAATGGATTCATGGTCATCCTTAGGCTCTTAATTCCAGATTTTTATTGAATTCAGATTCCACCATCTGCCACGGCAACATTTGACCCTGGGTCTCCATATTAACAGCAATAGCAGTAATACCATGAGGCTATCGCCTCCCCTTTTCTGCCACAGAAAGTGGTTAAGGCCAAAACATTGAATGTTTTCAAGGGGTTAGATATAGTTCCTAGGGATAAAAACATGAAAGTGTATTGAGTAAAAGTGGGAACAGGGTAGTGAAAAGGATGATCAGCCATGATACTGACTGACAGGGTAGGCTCAAAGGGTCGAATGGCCTCCTCCTGTTCCTATTCTCTACATCTGTATGCAATTCTACTGCTCATGCTCATGATGGCCCACAGTATCTCATGGATGCCCTTTTTTGAACTGATAAATCCATTGAGTCTATAAAATGTAGCAAGAGTGGTCATGCCACATAGCATGATGTGATCACAATGAACAAAAGGGACTTTATTTCTACAAGGACTGCACAGCACTAATTCCTAACAATAACAGATGCATCTTTGAGAAGTTAATTTGTGAGGACAAAAGTATTTTCTCTCATTGGTTCTTTCACCACCAGATCTAGTCTGGCAGTTAGGACTCGGTCAACTCAGTCAGCTGTAACACTATTGATCTACTTAGATAATGAATATAGACAATGAAGTTTAGAACATACTCAGCGAAGATGTTGGTGCTTGTGGGACACTGGCTGCAAGGTATGACTTGATGAGCATGACTATGTCAGACCTTTGCTGGACATTCCTGTAGGACAGCTCTCTCAATTTTGATGGCAGTCGTCAAATGTTAGTAAGGAGCATTCTGTAGCAAATTGGCAAAGTATATCTTTTACATTTCTGCTTCATGTATCAAAGTTGGGTTGTCCATTTGGTTTTATTCTTATTCAAGTTTCCTGTTGCAATTTCATACAAATGTCTAACTTGCTAGGCCATTTCAAAGAGCAGTAACTACACTGCTGTAGGTCTGTAGATAGAATTAATGCATAAAACAGACTGAATGACAGCATATATTTATAATTTGGTAGCCTCACACTTTAGTGTACCAAACAAGGCTATCTGATTTCCACAGCAGCTTGCAATATATATTTGCAAGTACTAAGTTAAATCATTTGCTCCACCTACACACCCGGTGCTTCCAAATACAGGAATAATACAAGTGGCAAATTGCTACACTTCTCGCTTTTAAGACCATAAACACACCGCCAAAGTTGGAAAGGAACAGGCCTTTGCCATATCTTAGGGAAAACATGTATAAACTGCACAAACGTGTCCTAGCTTAAAACTTACCTTGAAATGACTGTACGGCTCTGTCTACTAGCTCTGCAACTGAGTAACTGGCCAGGTCTCCTCTTGCATGCTTGGTTTTGCAATAAGTGCAAGCATTCAGGCACCTGTAATAGAAAGAACAATACAAATTTACTTCAAAAGGGTCACTAAAATTCACTGTAAACTGGCAGGAAATTAGGATGGAGAGGAAGGAAAATTTGAAGGTCAAATATAAATAAAACACTATCAATTAAATGAATTGTCACCTTTCAACACATCAAGTATGTTCCAGTTTATTATAAAATGATAGCTCTAACTCAATGTTTTATTCATAAACTTAACTAGGTAACCCGGTTTTATCAAAAAACCAAAAGAACTGCAGGGGCTGGAAATCTGAAACAAAAACAGAAACTGCTTGAAACTCTCAGTATCTGTGAAGAGAAATCGGAGTTAACGTTTTGGGTCCAGTGACACTTCAAAACTGGTAGAAAAGGATAGTTTTTATACAGAAGATGGGATTGGGAGAGGGGAGGAGAGTACATGATAGGTGAAGAGAGAGCCCAAAAGGAGAGAGAAAAACAGTTGGACAAAGGAGTAGTTAAAGGTCAGTCTGGGCGAACAAACAGTTGTTAATGGGGATGATTAGTGGTTGACATTGGTAGCGTGTGGTAGCCGCCCAGTAATAACAAGGCATGGTGTGCGGAGGTTAGGGAAAGCACGGGGCAAGGTGTTAATGTCCCGAAGTTGTTGAACTCAATACGAAATCCAGAAGGCTGCAGGGTTCCCAAGCTGAAAATGAGGTGCTGTTCTTCCAAATTGTGCTGAGCTTCACTGAAGCAATGCAACAAGCCTGAGACAGAGATGTTAGCCACAGAACATGATGGTGTCTTGAAGAGAATGTACAATCAAGATAACAGGGAGGAATCATTGGATTTGTAGTGGATATTGTTGGTCAGCCCATCCCCAGAAATGGAAATAGAGATATCAAGGAAGGGAAGGGACCAGGTGAAGGTGAGAGGAGATGGAAATTGAAAGTGAAATAGTTAAACTTTTGTAATTCTGGATAAGAGGGGCAAGCAGAACCAATGATGTCATCGACATACTGGAGAAAGAGTTGTGGGTGGGGACTGGACTGGAACAAGGAATGTTCCATGTACCCCACAAAGAGACAGGCATAACCAGGGCCCATGCGGGTACCCATAGCCACCCCTTTGACCTGAAGGAAGGGATAGGAGTTAAAGAGAAGTTGGTCAGGGTGAGGACAACCTCAGCCAGGTGGAGGAGGTTGGTGGTTGATGGGGACAGTCAGGCCATTTTTCCAGGAAGAAACGGAGTGCCCTGAGACCACCCTGATGAGGGATAGACTTGTAGAGGGATTGCACTTGCATGGTAAAGAGGACCCCGCGAACTAGAAATTGTGAAACTCACATAAAACGTCAGGAGAATCACGGACGTAAGTGGGAAGTGTCTGGACAAGGGGAGAAAATATCAAGTCAAGGTAGGAAGAGATGAGTTCTGTGGTACAGTCCTGTCTGTGGATTTTGGGAAGGAGGTAGAAGCGGAGTTGGGAGACTATCAGCTTGGAGGCAGTGGAGGGGAGATTACCAGATGAGAAAAGATTAGTTACTGTGTGGACACAATGGCCTGATGTTCCACGGTGGAGTCATGGTCCAAGGGGAGATAGGAGGAGGTACTGGAGAGCTGGTACTCAGACTCTGCAATGTACAGGTCAGTATGCGAGACAACAGAAGCAACACCCTTCTCCCAGGCTTAATTACAAAAGTCAGGGGTGGATCTGAGAGCATGGAGTGCAGTCAGTTCAGAAGGAGATAGATTGGAATGGGTAAGAGGGGGAGAGAAATTGAAGCAACCAATGTCATATCAACAGGTCTCAACAAACTGATCGAGTGCAGAGGGAAGGGTCCAGGTGGAAGGACAGTGTTGGAGTGGGTGAAGGGTTTGTGGGACCGGTGAGGACTACTGTCCAAAGAAGTGGGCATGGAGGATATGGCAATGGAAAAAGAGTTCAACGTCATGCAGTGCCCAAAATTAATTAATGAGGGGAAGCAGAGGGACAAAACTGGGACCTTTGCTGAGTACAGAATGTTCAGCATCAGAGTGTGTAAGGGCAGAAGGGATATTGATACATGACAGATGGTGGGATTGGGAGAAGGAATGGAGTCAGAAGGAAGGTTCCAGTTGGGCGTGAGTATCTCTGAGTTTTTGCATCTTGTGTTCCCCAATGTCTGAAAGGAAAAGAAACCATTTTTTGTTAGAACATCGAATGAGCCACAGGATAAAGTGGAACTGGAGGGTAGGGCATCTCTGAGTCAGCGTGAGGCAGCGCTGTTGGAGAGAGAAGTCCAGAATGTGCATGACACACAGTGTGGATCTGTTTTATCCACTTTAATCCTTAAAATTTTGCAAAAGGCAATTGCCTAATGGTATTATCACCAGACTACCAATCTAGAGATCCGATAATATTCTGAAGACATGGCAGAATTTCAATTCAATAAAAATATCTGGAATCTAGAGTCTAAAGATGAAACCAGTGTTGATTGTATGAAAAACTGTCCCATCTGAAACACTAATGTGTTAAAATCTGGCATATATGGCACCTCAGACTCTCAATTTAGTTGATTCTTAACTGCCCTCTGAAATAGTCTAGCAAGCCACTGCTAGAAGGAAAAACAAGAATGAAAATGGAGAGACTACCTAGCATTGTAGTTTCTTGTGCCTAGATCAATGGCAAAAAGTGTTCATTTGAGGTATAGTGTCAAAATTGAAAGAGCTGTCTTACAGTCAAGCAATAACCTGAGATACTCATAACCTGACAGAATCATAACTTGCAGATAACATCTCAGACACTACCACTGCCTGGGATATGTCCTGTTCCACCGGCGAGACAGGCCTAGCAGAAGTGGTGTCACAGTAGTATACAGTCAGGATGGTGTTGCCCTGAGAGCTCAGACGCCATGAAGTCTCATGGCATCAGGTCAAATAGGGCCAGGAAACCTCCTGCTTTGCCATCCCCATTCAACTGAGGAATCAGTGCTCCTCCGACAACACAAAGAGAGACTGAGCATGGCAAGGGCACTGAATTTCAATGTCCATCACCAACAGTGACTCAGCAGCAACACTATTAAATCCTAACAGATCAAGCCAGTCAGGTCCTAAAGGATATTGCTGCAACATAGGTATAGGTTCTTTAATCAGAGAGTGGTAGGGGCATGGAATGCATTGCCGCAGAAGGTAGTGGAATCGGCCTCATTTCGGGCATTTAAGTGGCTATTAGATAGGCATATGGATGATAGTATAAGGTAGGGGTGGAGGTTAGATAGACCTTAGGTTTAGGGTAAAAGTTCGGCACAACATCGTGGGCCGAAGGGCCTGTACTGTGCTGTACTGTTCTATGTTCTAACACTGGGTCTGTGGCAGGTGATGAGGTAACCAAAAAGATGGAAAAACATGCTAGATCTCGTCCTCAATCTGCCTGTCACAGATGTGTCCACCCATAACAGTTTCATGAAGAGTAACCACTGCACAGTCAAGAGGAAGACGCACCTTCACACTGATAATACCTGATATCACGTTGTGTGGCACTATTACTGTGCTAAATGGGACACATTTCGAACAAATCTAGCAACTCAAAACCAGGCATCCATGAGGCTTTATGGACCATCATTACAACAGGATCGTACTCCAACACAATCTGCAAACTCGTGGCATGGCATATCCCCACTTTACAACCAAGGGACCAACTTGTTCAATGGAGAGTGGAAGGGCATGCCAGGAGCAGCACCAGGCATACCTAAGAATGAGGTGTCAACCTGGTGAAGCCACCAAACAAAACTACTTGCATACCAAGCAATAGAAATAGCAAGTGATAGACAAAACTAAGCAATCCCCACAACAAATGGATCAGATCTAATCTCTACAATCCTCCCACATCCAGTCATGACTGGTGGAAGTAGCTCCACAAATATCCCTATCCTCAATGATGGGAGAGAGCAACACATCAGTACAGAAGATAAGGCTGAAGCATTCGCAATGATCAGCCAGAAGTGCTGAGCAGATGATCTATCTCAACCTCTTCCAGAGGTCCTCAGCATCACAAATGCCAGTGTTCAGCCAATTTGACTCACTCCACCTGATATTAAAAAAAAACATTGAAGGCACTGAATGTGATAAAAGCTATGGACTCTGGCAACAGTCCAGCAACAGCATTGAAGACTTATACTCCAGAACTTGCTGAACCCCGAGCCAAGCTTTTCTAGTAAAACTAGAAAACTACTCAACAATGCGGAAAATTGCCCAAGTATGTCATGTACACAAAAGGCAAGACAAATCCAACTCAGCCAATTACCATGATCATCAGTAAAGTGACAAAAGGTGTCATCAACAGTGCTATCAAGAAGTACCTGCTCAGCAATAATCTCCTTCCTGGCACCAAGTTCAGGTTCTGCCAGGGCTTTCCAAGTTACTTCTGTTGGCCAAAATAATCAGTCATCATTTTGTTCATGATTTTTGGATTGAATTTTAAGCTTCCAGCCTTGGGTGGCTGTCTATGTACAGTTTGCACGTTCTCCCTATGTCCGCATGGGTTTCTGCTGGCTGCTCCAGTTTCGTCCCACATCCAAAGATGAGCAGGTTAGGTAGATTGGCCATGCTAAGTTTCCCTGTAGTGCCCAGGGATGTGTAGGGTAGGTGAATTAGCCACGGCAAATGCGGCATTATGGGAATAGGGTAGGGCACTGGGTCTGGGTGAGATGCTCATCAGAGCGTCAGTGTGTACTTGATGGGCCAAATAGCCTCTTTCCATTTATATGGATTCTATGATTTATTTATTTGATGGAAATCAGCTCCTGACTTTATTACAACCTTGGTTCAAACGTGGTCAAAAGAATTGAATTCCAGAGGTGAGGTGAGGTGAGAGTGACTGCTCTTCACATCAAGGCCATGTTTGACCAAGTGTGGTATCAAGGAGCCCTAGCAAAACTAGGGTCAGTGGGAATCAGGGATAAACTCTGCTATGGTTGGAGTCAAACCTAGCATATAGAAAGATGGTTGTGGTTGTTGGAGGTCAGATATCTCAGCTCCAGGGCATCACCGCAGGTGTTCTCAGGGTACTGCGCTAGACCCAATCATCTTCCGCTGTTTCAATGACTGAATTTCCCACTACCAGTAACATGGTGGTGCCTGTTGGCTAGGAACTGAACTGGACTAACCATAACAAAACAGTGGTTCGACTAGCCAGTCAAAGGCTAGGATTTTGCAGTGAGTAACTTACCTGCTGACTCCCCAAAGTCTGCCCACAAGGCACATGTCAGGAGTGGGATGGAAAACTCCCCACTTGCCTGGATAACTGCTGCTCCAAAAACAATCAATAAGGTTTTGGAGTAGATTTGTAGCTCGGGTTGTAGGTGTTGAGGTTGGTTGGCTCGCTCGCCGAGCTGGTTTGTTGTTCCGCAGACGTTTCGTTACCGTGCTTGGTAACATCCTCAGTGCAGTCTCTGATGAAGCGTCGGTGTGTTTTTTCCGCCTGGTTTTTAAACTCTGGGGTCCGTTGAGATGGATTGCCTCACTTCCGGGTTTCCTCCGTAGCGGAACGTATATGGGGTCGAGTTCAATGTGTTTATTAATAGCATGCTTCGTGGAGTGCCATGCTTCCAGGAATTCTCGTGCTTGTCTCTGCCTAGCCTGTCCCAGGATCTTGGCGTTGTCCCAGTCGAAGTGGTGGTTCTCCTTGTCCATGTGGATTGAGATGA